TTGATGTTGTAACTGAAAAGAAAATCAATAATAACGTCAATATACTAACGTCAAGATCTGAAAATTTCGATTTGAAACTCATGTTGAACGTAAAAGAAAAACAAGAAAAACAAAAAAATCTATATAAAAAGTAATTTGTAGTTATTTAGTTATAGTAATCTCATTGATAAAGAATCATTGATAGGATTTTGGCTACGGTAACTAAGCCTACAGGAGCTGAGATTGCAATAGCTAGGCCTACAGTAGCTGAGGTTGCAATAGCCAAGCCTACAGTAGCTGAGGTTGCAATAGCTAGGCCTACAGTAGCTGAGGTTGCAATAGCTAGGCCTACAGTAGCTGAGATTGCAATAGCTAGGCCTACAGTAGCTGAGGTTGCAATAGCCAAGCCTACAGTAGCTGAGGTTGCAATAGCTAGGCCTACAGTAGCTGAGATTGCAATAGCTAGGCCTACAGTAGCTGAGGTTGCAATAGCTAGGCCTACAGTAGCTGAGATTGCAATAGCTAGGCCTACAGTAGCTGAGGTTGCAATAGCTAGGCCTACAGTAGCTGAGATTGCAATAGCTAGGCCTACAGTAGCTGAGGTTGCAATAGCTAGGCCTACAGTAGCTGAGATTGCAATAGCTAGGCCTACAGTAGCTGAGGTTGCAATAGCTAGGCCTACAGTAGCTGAGATTGCAATAGCTAGGCCTACAGTAGCTGAGGTTGCAATAGCTAGGCCTACAGTAGCTGAGATTGCAATAGCTAGGCCTACAGTAGCTGAGGTTGCAATAGCTAGGCCTACAGTAGCTGAGATTGCAATAGCTAGGCCTACAGTAGCTGAGGTTGCAATAGCTAGGCCTACAGTAGCTGAGATTGCAATAGCTAGGCCTACAGTAGCTGAGGTTGCAATAGCTAGGCCTACAGTAGCTAAAACTACAGTAGCTAAAGCAAACACTAACACTTCTCAGTTGTTGCTATTACTTTAGATTTTAAACCTTATCAACTAGGGAATCATTTAAAAGTGATGATCTAAAACTTTCAGAGTGTCGGCGGGAAAGCCGCGTGTGAGCCATGTCGCGGAAACCTTGCTAATGGGCTCATGTGTGTTACGAGTGAGTTGATAAAAACGGAATTTCTGCCATTGCAAGGGTTACTGTACATACAGAGTTGTCCAGGATTACGCAAATTAAAGAACTTAAAGATTTAAAGACCATTTTACATTAAAATGAAACTAAAGCAGAAAAAAAATTCATTTTACAACAATAATACAATAATTTAACTTGAAAAGTTACTTTTTTTTTCAAAAAGATTTTCCTTGGCGGCAACACAGGGATCGAGCTTTGGCTTAGGCTCTCTTTGGGCCTAAGGTTTGGGCTTAGGCTCTCTTTGGGCCTAAGGTTTGGGCTTAGGCTCTCTTTGGGCTTAGGCTTGGACTTAGGCTCTCTTTGGGCCTAAGGCTTGGGCTTAGGCTCTCTTTGGGCCTAAGGTTTGGGCTTAGGCTCTCTTTGGGCCTAAGGTTTGGGCTTAGGCTCTCTTTGGGCCTAAGGCTTGGGCTTAGGCTCTCTTTGGGCCTAAGGTTTGGGCTTAGGCTCTCTTTGGGCCTAAGGTTTGGGCTTAGGCTCTCTTTGGGCCTAAGGCTTGGGCTTAGGCTCTCTTTGGGCCTAAGGTTTGGGCTTAGGCTCTCTTTGGGCTTAGGCTTGGACTTAGTGCGAAGGCTAGCGGCTAGCGCCTCGCACTAAGTCTATTTGGGTTTAGGCTGAACCCCCATTTTCTGGATTAGGCTTAGGCTGCGTTCATCGTTGTGAGAAGGCAGGGCGTGTTCAGCTCTCGTCCTACCTTCTCAGCTTCTCAGCTTTCGAAAGAGCTTTCTTCAAAGAATCGACTGTTGGGATTTCAAGCAAACTTTTGCTTCATACAGAATAATTGAGGGCTTGATTAAAATCGATAATATCGGAGAAATTCTGCTTTCACGAATCTTGAACGATTCGAGCTTTGTGTGGGTGATTCATCCTGTTGATACATCCTCTTGAAAGCACCAAATCATGTTTCAAAAAGACTTTTTAGTCCATGAATGTACTTCTTGCTTAAGCATTTTTAAATAATTGATCGCATTTACTTTGATTTCTTGTGGAACAAAAAAACAGAGGAGTCTTTCCGTCAGCGCAGCGCAGGCTATCAATGATTTGGGCCATCAATGATTTGGGCCATCAATGATTTGGGCCATCAATGATTTGGGCCATCAAACAACCTGCTCGTGCCACAGATTGTCTAGATTGAGTCTTGGCATAAGTCCGATTGCTTTGATGGTTTGAAAACTGTTTTGATGGTTTAAACTGTTCGACATAGAAAAGTTTTTCATCGGTGAAGAGAATTTTCCGATCAACGATACCATTGATCGATCAACGATACCATTGAACGATCAACGATACCAAGCGAAGCAAAAGTTGCTTCGAAAGATCCTCGCGTTTCCTTTTGCTGGCTAACCTAAGGGATTGGCTTTTGGAAAACTTGTAAGCTTTCATTTCAAGACGATTTTTGACAATACAGCCCATAAAAGTTCAAGAAATTCCCATATTCTTTGTCATCCTGGCCTGCGAACGAGTGGCTTAGCTGATCTCAAGTAGCTGATCTTGAGTAGCTGATCTTGAGTAGCTGATCTTGAGTAGCTGATCTTGAGTAGCTGATCTTGAGTAGCTGATCTTGAGTAGCTGATCTTGAGTAGCTGATCTTGAGTAGCTGATCTTGAGTAGCTGATCTTGAGTAGCTGATCTTGAGTAGCTGATCTCGAACCTTCTTGAACAAGCCTTGGTGACAACGGTCGCTTTACAACCACGTCTTCGACGATTAGAATCTTTTCCTAACTCTTGAAAGCGTTTGATCGCGTAAACAAGTTGTTTGCATATCATCAATCGCTTAGAGATATCCATCGCCAGAATGTCACGCTTGTGTAAGTCGATGATCGCATCTTGATACAATGATTTCTTAGCCATCTTTAAAAAGAAAATTAGAGAAAAAATAGTACGTAAATCGATAAATAAATAAAATAAACTAAAAGAAAGATAAAAACAATATAAATTGTAAGCAAAAATAGGTAATATCAACGGTAAAATATGTAATAGCAAGCAAGTCCAGGATTACGGCGACTAGGTGGTCGCCTGGACTTGCTGGACTGGACTTGCTGGACTCCTGGACTTGCTTGCTATAAGTGTTTTAACTTGCTATAAGTGTTTTAGGCACTTGCACAGCTGTAGGCACGTCGCAAAGCCAGAATGTCACGAGTGGCTCGTGGCTCGTTTCCCCCGGTTTCAACATCACCGACAAAGGATCGCCCCAGCCCTATGGGTCAAATTTAGCTTGCGAATGGACGCTGAAAGTTAATGATGGAGCAACGTATTTGGCGCTGGTAAGCCTTTCAATCCGGTTCATTTCCGATAGTCCGAATCGCAATCTGGTTGTGTCAACCGACTCTTGCGTAACTAAACCGCTTGAAATCAATAAATCAAAAAGAAAACCAGCTTCCAGATTTCATAACAGTTTATGATAAAATGATTTACAGCCCACCGATGACAAGAACCCTTTCTCGACAATGGACACCACCGGGAAACTCGTGATGAAATGTGGTTCCTTCATGTAGTAAGTTATCTACCATTTCTCATTTCTTTTCCCATACAAATCATCTTATCTTTAGCACAAATTTAGGAAGTTTAAGAAGTTTTTTATTAAAGTTCAACTTATTTAGCACGATCACCTCTGTAAGTAGTATCACAAAGGTGAATGGGGCTCTCAAGACATGCACCGTCCCGACACTCACCTTTACATTCACCTCGGGAACCGTCACTGGGAATGCGGTGAGAATTTTTCGCGTCCTTTCTAAAAGGTGGATAATTTAGGGAAACGAAAATTAGCGTAATCTTTTCTACAAACTACAATTATCTACCTTTTAGAAGTTTCTCTTTCTGTCGTAAGCTGGCTCTATTTTTTTCTCAAATCTTTCTACTTTTTCTCTAACTCTTCAAGGGTTCTAAAAGATAGCGAATGATATAAAAAGTTGAGAAATTTGATGAAAATATAGAAAAGCTTTACGGTAGTCGAGGAAGTTGAGAAATTTGATGAAAAATATAGACAAGATTACGGTAGCTTTTAGTTCTTTGGCGTCCAACTGCTCACGCAACCGTAAAACCTGCACCGTAAAAAAGTGGCCTAAATTTTTTGATAAAGAAATACTTTTGATTTCTCTTTTGCAAAACGGTTAAACAAGCACACTATTGATCTGGAAAGGGTTTAAATTGATGAGTGTAGACAAATAGTTCAAGTTTGGATTGATAAATGATCTGGAAAGGGTTTAAATTGATGTTTGAATAACAAATAGTTCAAGTTTTAATTGATAAGTGAAAATGATCAAATCAATCAATCAATCAAATCAATCAACTCAATCAATCAAATCAATCAAATCAATCAAATCAATCAAATCAATCAAATCAATCAAACTAATCAATCAAATCAATCAATTCAATCAATCAATCAAAGCAACCAATCAAATCAATCAATTCAATCAATTCAATCAATCAAATCAATCAAATCAATCAATCAAATCAATCAAATCAATCAAATCAATCCAATCAATCAAATCAATCAATCAAATCAATCAATTCAATCAATCAAATCAATCAAATCAATCCAATCAATCAAATCAATCAAATCAATCAAATCAATTAAATCAATCAATCAAATCAATCAAATCAATCAAATCAATCAAATCAATTCAATCAATCAACCAATCAATTCAATAACACTTTATGCATTTCTTCATCATTCGAATCTGAAACCAAATCAACAAAATGACAATGGTACCACCGATAAATTGAATGATATCGTTGTAGAGGTAAATGGATTGCACTTCTCGTTGAATAAAGCCCGCCAAAAGGCCACCGAATGAACCGAAAGTGGCGAAAATCGAAAAAATTAAGCTTATAACTTGAGAAATGCTAATAGTTGACACAGTCGATAAAATTCTTGAACTATTCTTGAATAAAATCGATTCTAGAACTCACCGAAAAGATGAAGAAACACATAACACAATCGTATCGTTTCCTCGAAATCCCATATAAACCGATAGCTGTATAGAAGCAACTACCAAGGAAAGAGACAAGAATAATCATCACAAGGAAACCGATAAACCACCATTCATCGTCGGAAACTGATCTGAATCATTTGAAATTAGAGGAAAATCTTCTGAGCTCTTCTGAGCTCTTCTGAGCTCAATTTCTTTAGTTAAAGAGTGGTAAAACTATTGATACTAACAACGGAATAACCCTAACTTCAAGTTCAGAGCCAAACTTCAAAGCGATTCCGACTTTCGAAGTCAAACTTCAAGTTTGGGTAGCTTTAAGGTAGTTCTTTTAAGGTAGTTTATTGATTTGTAAATAAATGCTGCTACTTCTGCAGCTTTTTCCTTACTCATCAGTCTCCAAATCGAGCCACATGCTAAAGTGCATAGCCGCATTGTAGCACGGGGTCAGCAAATAGAGGACGCAGATCCACGAGACGATTAGCTGAAGGGAAAATGATGAGGTGAAGTTGCAAGTAAGGAATAGGAAAGAAAGATTTCTAGAGAGGGGATTGAACCCTTGAACTTTTTGCTTTTCGAGCAGATGCTTAAACCATTGAGCTACCCGGCATCTGCTTTCCATAGATGCGAGAGGAAATACAATGGGTTATAGTTGTAAGTTATGAACTAAATGATTGATGCGAAGGAAAGATAAGCTTTGAAGTCACCTAGAATTTACAAGGAGCTATAAGAATACGTAAACAACTACAGTAAACAGGGAAAAAAATCAGCCATACCCATTTCACCAACCTTTTTCCTTCTTGAAACTAGTGGATAGGTGTGATCGGGCTAAAAATTTGAAGGTTTAAAGGGAAATTCCGTTAAGAAAGTTCAATAAAGCTTAAATTAGCTCTTTAAAAACGAAGCAAAGCTATTGCAAAGCTATTGCAAAGCTATTCAGCTAAGCTAAGCCTAGCCTAAGCCTAAGCTAAGCCCAAGCCTAAGCCAAGCCTAAGCCAAGCCTAAGCCAAGCCTAAGCCAAGCCTAAGCTAAGCCTAACTTTCACTACAGTAATCCAAATAAAACCTAATTCAGCTAACAAGACGGAATCTCTTCAAATGAAGCAGTTAACTAATACTTTTGCCTGACTACTGTAGACAAACTAAACATCTGAGGTTTACAGTTTGCATAAACTAAAAAAGATTTCCCCACTTACACATATCCTGATAGCAGCTTCTTCGAGATCCGGTTTACAGCACGAGTAAGACATTGCATTTTCCTCTAAAAACCCAAGAATTCTAATCAATTTCCCTTTTTTTCCGCAGAAACCAAGCGGATTAAGTTTTGAATTTGTTATTTTTACGATAAGAGAAAGGAATTCGATCGAAAATTCGAAAAGAAAAGTGCAAAAAACACTGAAATTCGTCAGTAAACCAGATTTGAGTGTAATTTCAGAATTTCAGAAAATTCCTACTAAAAAAGGATATTTTTGGTCTGTTTTAAGCTGGAAACTAGATCTAAAACACCTAGTAAACAGACTCGAATCAGTCTTCAGTTTTTCGACCTTTTCTCAGCCATATTTGGATGGATTTGCCTTAAATCTATGTCAAAAGATGTGCCTTGAAAAATGCTATCAGAAAAATATCATTTTGTTTAGCGAAAGTTGAGTTTAAGGTTCCAAATTGGCAAAATTGAAGTTTGCTGTAGGCTTAGGCTGTGCGTTCTTTCGGTGTGCCGCTAAAAACGGCATCTGGCACAGATGTGCGTGTACCAGATGCCGCTTTTTTCGTGGTGACAACAAAGTACGCACGGAAAACTTTACTTAGGCTTAGGCTGTGCGAAAACTTTACTTGGGCTTAGGCTTAGGCTGTGCGTTCTTTCGGTGTGCCGCTAAAAACGGCATCTGGCACAGATGTGCGTGTATCAGATGTCGCTTTTTTCGTGGTGACAACAAAGTACGCACGGAAAACTTTACTTGGGCTTAGGCTTAGGCTGTGCGTTCTTTCGGTGTGCCGTTAAAAACGGCATCTGGCACAGATGTGCGTGTATCAGATGTCGCTTTTTTCGTGGTGACAACAAAGTACGCACGGAAAACTTTACTTAGGCTTAGGCTTAGGCTGTGCGTTCTTTCCGTGTGCCGCTAAGAACGGCATCTGGCACAGATGTGCGTATACCAGATGCCGCTTTTTTCGTGATGACAACAAAGAACGCACAGAAAACTTTACTTGGAATAGTCGTTTTTCATCAAAATCGCTTTAAATTTGATCTTTTTGAGTTTTTTTTCTGAAGCTAGAAACATTTTTGAATCGATTTACATGTAAATTGATTGGAAATTTAAGTTTTAAAGTGTTTTATCGCTCACTTTAACCTCTTTTTGTGTGACTCCCACGCGGATTTCGGCATTTTTTTTTCCGTTCTTTTCTCTTTTTTTCCTCAACTTTTCAGGAAACACAAGTGTTTTTTTCGGGTTTACGCCAGCTGTGCGGCATTTTTGAGGAGAAATTTTGGTATTGGAGACATTCTTTTGCTTTTTCTCTTGCCAATTGATCGCCAATTCTCAAGTGGGAAATCATGCAATTGAAACGAAAAACTCTTCATTAGCTCAGCTTTAGCTCCGCCTTAGCTCTTTAGCTCTTCTTTAGCTCTTTGGCTCAGCTTTAGCTCTTCTTTAGCTCTTTAGCTCTTCTTTTGCTCTTTAGCTCTTCTTTAGCTCTTTAGCTCAGCTTTAGCTCTTCTTTAGCTCTTTAGCTCAGATTTAGCTCTTTAGCTCTTCTTTAGCTCTTCTTTAGCTCTTTAGCTCTTCTTTAGCTCTTTAGTTCACCTTTGGGATTCGCTGGATCAAGTTTTGACCTTCATTTGAATCAATTTTCCTTATAAAAACTCATTCTACCCACTTTTTTTGCTTGAAAAGTTGTTTTTGCGAAAATTTACACGGTTTGACGGTGGGCGTCAAAAGGAAAGCTTTCAACAAGAAAAAAAGAAACCTTAAAAACAAAAAAGAGACCTTAAAAGCTTCACTTTTGCTTAATAAGTTCATTTTTAGCCGACTTTTTGGCTTAATAGTTTATATTTTTGGCTTTCCTTTTGTTTAACAGTTCATTTTTTGAAATTGAATTGAAATTGAATTGAAATTGAATTGAAATTCAGTCAATCATAACTCCCTTCTCGTCTTATTTAAGCTTTAAATTAAGCAAAATAATTAATTTGTTTTATTATTTGATTATTATTATTCGTTATGTTTGATCGTTGGTTGTTTTTATTCGTTTTTATTCGTTTTTATTCGTTTTTATTCGTTTTTATTCGTTTTTATTCGTTTTTATTCGTTTTCCCTGCTTAGTACTTCATTTGTAAACATTTAAATTAAATTTTATTCATTTAAAATCTCAAATTTTAATCTCAAATCTTTCTCAAATCTTGTTTAATAACTTTGAATTTAAATTTATTTGTTCTATCGATTGAATCTATCGATATCTATCGATTGAAAGCAAGAGAATGATCTCTAGAGAATGAAAAAGAAACGAAAAGAGAGATTATTCCAAGAGTGAGCTTGGATTAGGATAAGGGAAAGGGATTTGAAAAGATGAAAAGAGACTTTACACAACAGCACAACAGATCCATTGGGGAAAGGGGGAGGCCAAGGAAAAGATTGAAAAAGCCTCAACAACACAAAGAATCTCCCGGATCTCCCGGATCGCTCAAAATCTCAGATTATTGACTTTCTCCTCTTTTGATTATTTTGATTTTGAGCTATTTTGCTTTGATAATTTGCTCGATAACTTAAAGCTTGCTTAACCCATTCGAAACTTCTGCAGCGAATAATCGCTGCAGCAAAAACTCAGGAACGGACCGCAGCAGCGATTATTCGCTGCAGCGCTAATTGAGCTATTTTCAATCAATTAATTGTTTTTTTTTTGCTGTTTTTCAGCATTACATGTATATTCGAATTGTAGCAGATCTACAAATTACGTGGGCAAAAAAGATGTTTCATATTTACCCGGAATCAATGCAGTCTCTGGTTTTGCATTGAAATGTTCCATAATAGCTCTAATCTTATAAAGCCGATCTCCTGCAGGATCCAGTTCATTATCACAAAAACGCAGGTTGCGAAGAATAGATTCAAATTTTGCTCTTGACATAATGTGGGACATGTGGGAAAATCCTCCTAATCCAGGCCTGCTACTCCAGTAGTCACGAATCCTCGGTAATTTGACGATTCCCATTTGAAGCCAGGAAGAGCTTGAAAGATTTTGCATCGAAATCCTGCCAGTTTGTTTTCCTTTTTCCATGTTTATTAGATTCGCCTACTAACATATTGATTAATTTGTCGTCGATAAAATAAGAACAATAATCGATAGGATCTTGAAAAGTACTGAAGTCAAATCCAAATCGTTCTTCATCAAAAATAAATGGTGTAGGAGACTCTCTTACATCTTTCCAACCATAAATAAACTGCTTCGGAGTCAAAAATGTCAAAAAGGGCTTGGTCCGTAGACGAAAAAAAAGAAAAAACGTTGCGGTTTCGAATGGGTTAAAGCAATACTGCAATGCTTAAAGCTTAAAGCAAAGCAAACTGCTTAAAGCACTTAAAGCAAAGCAATATGATAACTTTAGCTATCATAGTATTGTTCTGTTTACTTTTATCGAATCCGTTTTGTTCTTAAGCTCTAATCTAGACATATCTGATTCACTTTGAAATAGTCCAGATATCATTTCGGCATTTGTATTTTGTATACTATTCGAGTGTGTTTCTCGCGAGTAAAGTTTAGACAGGGTTTAGTGACAAGTTTAGACAAAGCCTGAGCCTGAGCCTGAGCCTGGGCCTGAGCCTGAGCCTGAGCCTGAGCCTGAGCCTGAGAAAAATTCCCGTTCGTTTAGCGAAAAGAAATTCTAATTCTAAAAAAAGCGTGACTACTTTGCGCTAAATTTTTCTGCAACTGGATCTTTTGCGCAACTCGCCATAACTTTCTTCTAATTTCGTTAATCTTTATGATTTTGTTCTCATTTTGTAGATCTCAATAAGTGCAACAAAATGACACCAAAAACATAAAGATTGTATCCAGACAAAGACTGAAAAGCTTTTAAACAGAAGATATTCAGTAGTATGTCTACTTTATCTAATCTTTATGTTTTTAAAGACTCTTAGACTTAAAAACTTACTTAGAAGAGAGTTATTTTGCGTAAAAAAAAAAGATTTGACGTGAAATAGAGGACAGGATTAGACTGGAATGGAAAAATAAGCTTCTAGATTAAAATTAGATTAAAATTATTGGGTTGATGCATAATTATCCGGACTTCTTTTTGATTGAAATTGAAAATTCGAAGGCGATCTGCTTGGTTCTTCTCGGAGAGTTCGTGTGGGACCCATCCAGCCAATTTCCATACTTTGCCAAGCTTTTTGAGATGGCGCACGATCGTTGACTGGTCAACATTGAATTCATCTGCCAGCATTCTGGTTGTCAGGCTTTCGTCTTCTTCAACGGCTTCCAGAAGTGCCTTGTCATCGAATTCTGATGGCCGTCCTCTTCCTGGTTCATCATCAACACTTGTGTTACCGGACTTGAAACGATCGAACCATTCATAAACTGTTGCACGTCCAATTGTTCCTTGACCAAAAAGTTCTTTGAGATCGCGAAACGACTCTGCGGCAGACCATCCCTTTTCGAAGTGGTAGAGCATGATATGGCGAAGATGGATATGATTGTCGACACGCATTTTGTTCACTAAAGAATAACGAATATTTTAAAAAAAGAAATAGACAAAAAGCTTTCAAAACAAAAAAGATACAAGCACGCAAAAAGAAGTCCGGATAATTATGCATCAACCCAATAGATTAAAATTAGCTCTTCAAGAACTTTCTTGACTTAACTTTTTTGTTAAACGTTAAAATTATGCTTGTTTTCTGTATGCTATTCGTTTGGATCTTAGTCTGACTTTGATAAAGTTTGCTGACCTTGATAAGCTTTGCTGACCTTGATAAACTTTGCTGACTTTGATAAACTTTGCTTACTCTTAAAGCCAAGCAATAATACTCTACCATTCACCTATTAAATTTGTCTTTGTTGTCTACTTTTCTCTGTTCTTTGATATTAAAGTTTTCTTGACAATTCAACTACCGTATTCTCTCTAATGCACCCAACCGAGCCGAGTTGGTGACTATTTTATCGTTCCAAAGCTTTCCCAGAAGCTCAACACTCAAATCCCCCACTAGATCTCATCGTCAGCTACATTTTCCGATCCCACATCGATAGGTTCTGATAAGCGGTTTACGAGATTTCGACCAATTTAGACAAGGCTTAGAGTGCACTAGTATTAGAGAGAATACGGTATTCGCTTTACATAAATAGTTTAATTTTCAAATCAAGAATGGGTCGGATAGTGACTGAATCTCAATGGGTTCCTTGGTACAGAAGACACTCGCCACCAGCTTTTTGTTTTCCTTGCCTTCCTGCCTATATGGGAATCTGGAAAGCTAGGTAAGAACTTGATGATAAAGACGAGATGAATAAAGCCCTAGGAGTCAGCTTTGTTTAAACAAGTACAGAGCCAAGTGAGCCGAGTACAGAGCCAAGTACAGAGCCAAGTACAGGGCCAAGTACAGAGCCAAGTGAGCCAAGTGAGCCAAGTACAGAGCCAAATACAGAGTCAAGTACAGAGCCAAGTACAGAGCCAAATACAGAGCCAAGTACAGCGCCAAGCATTAAAGTCTTGATGCATTTCATTTGCTTTTTAAACAAAGCCAGAACATCTAGAAGATGATGATAATCAATCTGCTCATCAATTACCATTTCTCTCATCAAATCAAAACCAAATCTAGACGCGCCGTTCTTGCCGCTGGTCTCATTTGTTTCTTCATCGGCGCAATGATGGTCTTCGCCGCTTTATTGATTTGTATTGCGGTCGAATGTGGAGGACTGTGAGTGATAGAATTTGACTTTCAATTCAATTTTTCAACAACTTTTTCACTTGAAGTCGACTCACTTGACGAGTGAGCAGGTTTAAACAATCTCAATTTCCTTCTCTAGTGGCGGTGTTCTATTCCCGTTGGGTCTTCTCTTGTTAATCGTCGGCATATTGTTGTTACATTGTGGTTGGGCAGCTCATCTTTTAAACGATCAAGGGCAAATGCCTATGAGGTGAGGAAATTGAATTGAGTGAATTTTCGAGTTGTGCTCAAAAGCAACTCAAAAACAACAACTCTAATATTTCCACGCTGAAGCTAGACACTGAAGCTAGCTCGTTTGATGTTATTCTGAGCCAAGTTAGCTAACTTGACAACTTAGACAACTTACACAAGTTAGCTAACTTAGACAAGAAGAAAGCTAACTAACTAACTAACTAGCTAGCTAACTAACTAGCTACCTAAGTAACTAGCTAACTAGCTAGCTAACTAACTAGCTACCTAAGTAACTAGCTAACTAGCTAACTAACTAGCTAAGTAACTAACTAGCTAACTAACTACCGTATTTCTTCGAATAGAAGACCGGGTAAAGAGTATCATCGCGTACTCTTGCGTAGCAGCCCTTTTAAAAATTTCTTTTCTACATAAAAGCTTTCAATGAAGTGCTATAGGGCTGGGAAATGGCTCAAAAATCTGTTAGCTCATGTGGTATTTTTGAGCCATTTCCCAACCCTATAGCACTTCATTGAAAGCTTTTATGCAGAAAAGAAATTTTAAAAAGGGCTGCTACGCAAGAGTACGCGATGATACTCTTTACCCGGTCTTCTATTCGAAGAAATACGGCAACTAACTTACAAAACTAATCAAAGCTTTAAAACAGACTGATCGATCAAGCTCAGCTTTAAAAATCGATTTTTATTCCCAGAAAAACGGTGACTACAACAACGACGACTTATTCGAGTGACGCCGATCCGGAGGAGGACGATGAAAGAGATTTGGGCGACGCCTATAAACCACCAATGCCTGAAGTGAGGAAATTGTTTGAAATCTTCAAGATTAGTCTCTTACTTTACTCATAGATTTCTCCATTTTACAGGTTCGACAGGGTTTCTGGCAATTCGACGAGGAAACAAGCTGGCAAGCCGCCTCGAATCCCTATCCAATTCAGTGGGTTTTGTGGAAAAGGCACAGATAGACAAATTCAGCAAGTATCATGTAAATACCAATTGTTGGGTCTAGTTCCAGTTTAGCCAAGAGTCCAGCAGTCAATAGTAATAGTAACAGCTCCAAAGTGCTCAATAGTAACAGCTCCAAAGTGTGACTACGATTTGAAAGAGAAGGCGTGACTTGTAGAGACTGTATCTAGGGATACTATAGCTTCTGTAGTTATGGATACTGTAGGATTCTATAGCTACGGATTCTATAGCTACGGATTCTATAGCTATGGATACTGTAGCTTCTGTAGCTATTCTGTAGCTCACCAACTAGCCAGTTTCCATTTGATCGGCCCAATGTTTGTCTCATTCACTGAGTCTTGTGTTCCCTGCATCAAATTTGACCAAAATCAAATCAAACTGCCAATGGGTTACGGTAGTTTTAAGTGCTTTTTAGAAAACGCAAAGGAACTGGCCCATATCTATAGTATCCAGGCAAAGACTGAAAAGCTTTTAAACAGAAGATATTCAGTATTACGTCCACTTTAGAGTACAGTAGTTATCTGTAGTCTCTGTCTACTTTAGAGTACAGTAGTTATCTGTAGTCTCTGTCTACTTTAGAGTACAGTAGCTATCTGTAGTCTCTGTCTACTTTAGAGTACAGTAGTTGTCCGTAGTCTCTGTCTACTTTAGAGTACAGTAGCTATCTGTAGTCTCTGTCTACTTTAGAGTACAGTAGTTGCCCGTAGTCTCTGTCTACTTTAGGGTACAGTAGTTATCTGTAGTCTCTGTCTACTTTAGAGTACAGTAGTCGTCTGTAGAATTGGAATTACTGTACTTCAAACTGTTTTTTCTATTTTATCTTTTTCAGAAGCACCCTCAAGTACTGCCTCGATCGTCCAGACTATTGCCCGGATCCAGCTCCAGTAAATCGACTTCACTAACGCCTTAAATTACTCTAGTTATGTAAATTTTTATATAATCACTTTAAGACTGAATTCTTCAGCCAAATTCGTCAAATTTCATTTTTTTCCCACAAAATTCTGGTCGATTTAAAGAATAAATTTTATAAAACAAAAAAGAGTAGCGAGATATACCCGTGAAGCAAAATGCAAAAGAATTGAAGCACAATGAGGAGCTGCTTTTAGCTCTTTAGCTGCACTTTGTGCTCATGTAAGCGCGCTTGCTGGTGCACTGGTTTCCTTGAAAACATGAAGGATTTCAGTGGACCAGAAAGGGTGCTTTTATACAGCAAAAAGTGCATGAAGAACATGGAGAATATAGAAATGATACTTTTAGAATATAGAGAATATAGAAATGATACTTTTAGAGCATAGAGAACATAGAAATGCTTTTTGCTAAAAATTGTTCACGAGAAACTTGTTCGATTGATCCAAGAAAGGTGGTGAGGTTGTTTCGAGGAAATTCTCGTTTAACATTTCGTTTCTGTAAACGTTTCTGTAAGATTCATTTCAAATTTCAGCTTAAAAAAGGCTTTATTGCTAGATTTGCATTTAAAAATGCAAGATTTCACTTAAAAACTTAAAAAAACTCACTGATTTTCGCTCGAAACCGGATCTCTGATGATTTGAACTTTTTTCTTGTCTTGTTCATGCTGCAAATTGTAATAATAAATGAATATTGAGGGATTTTAGCTGTTTACGTTCTTTATTTGATTTGATTTCTTTTTTAGAAGCTTTGCTGCAAAAAAGCGAAAAAATTGGCGCCGGGAGGAGGCGAACCTGCCTTCTGTTCGTTATATTTTTGAATTTTTACATGGAATTTGTTCGATCTGGAAGTCATGCTCGGATTTAAACTTGTTGTTTTTCGATTTAGAATCAAAATAGATAATTGGGTAATTGAACCGGGGATTTAAATGTAAATTTCTTAGTTATTTGATGTTTTTCAATTGTTCAAATGTTTTCAGGTGAAAAAGGAATTGATTATCAACGAGATTCTAGTGATGCGAGAGAATAAACATCCAAATATTGTGGATTATTTGGATTCTTATCTTGTAAAACTTCAGTCTTCTGTTCGTTTGAAAGACGCGCGCGTTAACCACTCGGCCATGTTCTCAGTGCGTTCTCAGTTCTCAGTTCACAGGATAATGCAATGCGAGCATACTTCACTCTAGCCCAGACGACCCGCCATCCTCTGTAGATGGCGCAGTGTGATCGCACTGGTCTCTAGCCCACACGACCCGGGTTCGAGTCCCCCCCGCGCCGGCAGTTTTGGTTTTTTTTGAAAATTTAAAAACAATTACGCAACTACATGGAAACCTAAGTCAAACTAACTAAAAATCATTTGAAATGGCCGACCGTGGCGCGGAGGAGTAGACAGACAGACAGACAGACAGACAGACAGACAGACAGACAGACAGACAGACAGACAGACAGACAGACAGACAGACAGACAGACAGACAGACAGACAGACAGACAGACAGACAGACAGACAGACAGATGTCTTATTTCCTTTATATATAGTAGATCATTTTTAAGAGGTATTTTAATTTCAGTCTATTTACCTCTATTTTTATTCGATTTCTATTCTATTTCTATTCTATTTCTATTCTATACTCTATTTTTACCTCTTCCTTTTGATTATCTAGTCTTAAAAGACATTTGAATCTTCTCTAAGAGATTTTTTTTTGTAATTGAATTATATTTTAATAATATTCAATTTGAAAACCTGTATCCTTTGAGCGTCAGCGACTTCATCAAAAGTTCCGGGTCGATATCGGCAAAGGCGAAGAAAAGAATTTCGATCACAAATCGACCATCGAGAATAGGAAAGAGAATCGCGAAGAATTGGGAGAGGTGGAGGCTGAAGGATTGGCATTTTCAAATGATAAGAGACATTTGGAATTGATAAGAGACATTCTATGAAGCAAGTAATATGCAGAGTGTTCAAGATTTTCGAGTTTTGACTCTCTAAAGGCTGTTTATCGGTTTTAAAATCGGCTTTATCGAAAAAAAATCATTGGGGAAGCATTGACTTACTGAGTTGGGAAAGCTATGAAACGCTGACTTTTACTGTTTACTCAACTTGTTATGCGAAAAAGCGATTTATTGGAATTCATTGGTTAGATTGATTAGATTGGTTAGATTGATTAGATTGATTAGATTGATTAGATTCATTAGATTCATTAGATTCATTAGATTCATTAGATTCATTAGATTCATTAGATTCATTAGATTCATTAGAAAACTGGAACATCCCGCTGCGCTGCTCGTGTTGATTTTGTCAAGTAAAATCATTGATTTCAAAATCGATTGGAAAATGGTAAGACTTTTGCTTACATCTAAGATTTCTTTTTATGTTGTGCTTTCTGAAGAGATTCAATTCAATGATCGGGATGGTTTCCAATCATATTGGCATGATCGTAAGCAAAAACTCCACTATTCTCGTCGCAACTTTAAATGGAGAAGGGATTATGGCCAAGAGGAAGAGTGAAGTCAGGAAGTCAGGAAGTCAGGAAGTCGAGATCAGTGCATCAACGGGAAGAATCAAGTTGGGCTTCGTTTCAAAGAAAATGAATGGATCAGACTGCCGGGTGGTCTTGAGTCGAGGAATTTTACCTTCCCAGCGTTAAAATCGGCACGATGGAGCTCTCCGATTCACAGAGATCGTCGTAGACGAGCGTGGTTGGAAAGGAGAAGAATTTTACCGTTCGCTGGCATGTAGCCTTGATCTCAACTCCATAGAAAACGTCCGGGATTTCATGGTGAAGAAAATTTACGAAGAAAACAAGCAATACAAGAACATTGCGGAGCGTTGCGTAGGCTAGCTTTGAACGAGTGTTTCTCGACAATGCTACAATGCTCGTTTAGATATCAAAAAATAGCCCTGAATTTCAGCTATTTTTTGATACCAAAGACGCATTTTTGAAAGTACGGGCGCTTTGAAAAAAATGAAATACCAAAAAGCTTTTGCGACTACGCGACTGTACGAGGAGGGTGGGGTGCTATTACAATATTTACGGTATTTGAAGTACTCTTTATACTCTATATACTAGTATACTTTCTTTAAAATCATTCTCACCTTTCGACAAAATGTAAGACTTGGATTCAACTCGCACATTTTCGCTCGCATTGATTTAGAGAGAAGATCGTGACGAGGTGAAGAGCTCAGCACTGTCTAAATCGTGTTAAATAATTGATGAATTGAAATCCTTAGATGAATTTATTGTTAACTTAGGGTTATTGTTGTACGTTACTGTTGTACGTTACTGTTGTACGTTACTGTTGTACGTTACTGTTGTACGTTACTGTTGTACGTTACTGTTGTATGTTACTGTTAACTTACAGTTACTGTTGTATGTTACTGTTAACTTACAGTTACTGTTGTATGTTACTGTTAACTTACGGCTACTGTTGTATGCTACTGTTAAATTACAGTTACTGTTGTATGTTACTGTTAACTTACAGTTACTGTTGTATGTTACTGTTAACTTACAGTTACTGTTGTATGTTACTGTTAACTTACAGTTACTGTTGTATGTTACTGTTAACTTACAGTTACTGTTGTATGTTACTGTTAACTTACAGTTACTGTTGTATGTTACTGTTAACTTACAGTTACTGTTGTATGTTACTGTTAACTTACAGTTACTGTTGTATGTTACTGTTAACTTACAGTTACTGTTGTATGTTACTGTTAACTTACAGTTACTGTTGTATGTTACTGTTAACTTACAGTTACTGTTGTATGTTACTGTTAACTTACGGCTACTGTTGTATCTTACTATTAACTTACAGTTACTGTTGCCAAAAGGAATATCAGCCTCATCGTTTAAAATCGTTCTAAAATCGTTTGCTAAGTTTTGCTAAATTTTGTTAAACTCATTTTGAATTTAGTTTATTTTGAATTCGACAATTTAATAGGTAAATGAATACTAATTTACAGGAAAACTAGAAACAAGCCAAAAAGCCAAGCCAAAAATCAGCACAAAAGATTTGATGAGATCAGGTTTGTGAAGAGAATTGTGGAAAAGAGATCAAGGAAAAAAAAAGGGGGATGAAGTAGAGAAATCCGGTCTAAATTCGATCCCCAAACAAACACACAAACAAACGCCGGGTAAACAATAAGCAACGGTCCTTTGCCGTCCAGTCATTCAGATAAGAATGACGTCGAGATCAGCTCTTGAACCCATTTTATTGTTTAGAGGAAAGTTGAGTTCGAGAAATGGAAAAGCATTGAAAAAATTGAACAGAAAAGCAAGATTGCTTTCGATTCACTTTTCAAGGATTCGTTTTTTTAGTTTAAATTGACAAGCAATCGAAGATTGATCAAATATTCTAAAGAAAAGCCAAGCCAAACCAAGCCAAGACTCTACTAGAATTCAACAGATCACTAAATCTCATTATCGTTGACTCCTTGGCTGACAGTTGAAGATGAAAGATGATCAATAAGGGAGCGGGACAAATGCGACCTTTTTTTTCCGCACCTTGCCCATTAACGCACCTTTTTTCGCATTTTAAAAAAAGCCAATATTAACCTAAAGCTCTAAAAAGCTAATAGTAACCAATTTCTATTCCAAAAGTTGTTTTTCTAGGTAATTTTAGGGCGTAGAATCGAAATTTTGACATATCAGAGCTTGTGGAAACAAACGGACGGAGTTATACAAGGAGAAAAATCGACAATTTTCTGTAATTTGTTCTAGCCGTTTTGTTTTGATCTAGCGTCTTTCAAATTGGTTCCACACGCTCTGTTATGTCAAAATTTCGATTCTACGCCCTAAAATTACCTAGAAAAACAACTTTTGGAATAGAAATTGATTAATATTAGCTTTTTAGAGCTTTAGGTTAATATTCGCTTTTTTAAAACGCTAAAAAAGGTGCGCTAATGGGCAAGGTGCGGAAAAAAAAGGTGCGCAAATGTCCGGGTGCGCAAAAAAAAGGTAGCATTTGTCCCCCGCCCATCAGTGATCAATCTTCAATCTTCAATGATCAATCTTCAATATCAATCTCCAGAAGATCCAAAAATCATTCTTTTTCCTTAATGGCAGAAGAATATAGAGAAAGATCATAAAAAAATGACTTTTAAAGCATAAATCATTCATCATTATCTTTAGAAACAATTGAAAAACTTGTCCTTAAGCTGGGAATATTTTATCATTCTTAAAAGAACTCATTTCTAGTTTTGATTAAAGAAAAGAAAGCTAAGTAACTTAAAAACGGCTACCTAGCGCACTGAATTATCCATTTTTCTTGATATCCAAGGATTTAGTGCGCCAGGAAGATAGAGTTTACATTTTTTGAGTAGATTTAAAGAACAAGAACAGGAAAAGTACAAGAAAAGGCCAAAGAAATTCCAGAAAAAAAAGGATCTATCGATTGAATCCAGAAATCTATGATCTAGAAAGAAAAAGAAAATGGTGAACAAGAAGAAAAAGAAGAAAAAGACACGGAGATGTCTCTTTTTCTTTGTCGGATCTCTTTTCATGTTTTGTGTGTTCGTTTTCTTTCCTTTCTTTTGCTTCAATCCGATGTGAGAATTCCGCTTCCGATCTTGTCCTTTCACTCGATTTTTTTCGATTCTTTGAAGTGTTTGACTTTAAAATCGACTATAATCTATTTAAAAATCATTGAAATTTCGAAAAATCATTGAAATCAAGAGATTTACTTTCAAAAGAAGTAAATCTCTTGAAATCGAGAAGAAATTTGATTCTTAAACGAATCACTCGATTTTTTTTCGATTCTTTGAAGTGTTTGACTTTAAAATCGACTATAATCTATTTAAAAATCATTGAAATTTTCGTAAATCTCTTGAAATTAGAATTAGAATCGAGAAGAAAAAAAAAATTTGATTCTTAAACGAATCAAAACTTACTTAAGCCGGTAGTACTCAAAATTCCATCAAATTCCATCAAATATTTTGATTTTTGTGTAGTTTTAGGTGTTTAAAAAGTGAAATTCAATGATCCTTTATTGAATGTACAGTGCTGGACAATGAAATATGATATTTGAAAAACGATCGTCGAAAAACTTTCGCGCGTCTGCAACTCTCCTTGTCTTTGAGTTTGTCTTTGAGTTTAAACTATTAGTGTTATACATTTTCTGAAAGCTCTTTTCAACGGCTACACAATGGTAATATTAATATTTAGAAATACGGTGAAGACAAGGGGGTTACAGACGGGCGAAAGTGACGTTCGTTTTTCAAATATGATATTTCGTTGTCCAGTAGTGTATAAAATCCGAAAAATCAGTTAATATCCTCATCTGTCATATAATTTTTGCACATATATGTGAATTCATCGGAATCGAGTAGACCATTTCCATCAACGTCAGCCTAAAACGAAAGGATTTAAAGGTTTAAAGGGCCATAAATATCTACAGTAACTAGATTACGGTAGATTATGGTAGATTACGGTAGATTTCGGTAGATTCCTTTAGATTACGGTCGATCACGCGAAGTCTAGCTTTGTTCTTTGTAGTCACCAAGAAAAGCACCATCTCGGACACAAAACCCTGTGCTAGATGGTGCCTTTTTTGAGAAAAACATTCAAAGAACGCATAAAGGAGATCAGTAAGGAAGGTGTACTTTGTGCGCAAAGTGAAACGCACCCCTTCTGGCGCATAGAACTTTGCCAGACACCGCTTTTTTCTTGAAAAACGGCCAAAGAACGCATCAGAGAGATCGATAAAGATGTACTTTGTGCGCAAACTGAAACGCACCCCTTCTGGCGCATAGAACTTTGCCAGATACCGCTTTTTTCTTGAAAAACAACCAAAGAACGCATAAGAGAGATCAATAATAGAGAGGTGTACTTTGGGTGCAAAGTGAAACGCAATCCTACTGACGCACTGAACTGTGCCAGATACCGCTTTTTTCTTGAAATACATCCAAAGAACGCATAAAATAGAGCCTTAAAGGCGTGCTTTGTGCGCAAACTGAAACGCACCCCTTCTGGCGCATTGAACTGTGCCAGATGCCACTTCTTTAGTGGCAGAGAGAACGCACAACAGCTCAAAGCGGCTCAAAACAGCTCAAAACAAAGCCAAGTTTGCCAGAAAGGATGCGTTTACACTTTTTCTTCAAATTTGGATGTTAAAGCTGTGAAATATGAGTCAAAACCGTTTATCATCAAATCCTTACCTCCATAAAGATCTCATCAACAATAATACTGTCTGTAATATCGCCGAGTTCTCGGAGAATATATTGGAAATCTTTTTTTTGAGATCACTCCGGATTCAGACTAGAATTTCAGCGTTAATTTCCCTCATTTCGCAATTGCTAAGCAAATTACCCGATCAAAAACCGCAAAGCACTCCTTCACCACACTATTCCAGTTGTTTTTTCTGAAGATTTTCATTGAAATTTGGGTTTTTTTTTTCCTTTAAAAACCTATTATAAAGTCTTCGCATCACATCGCAGAACTCATCAAAGTCGATCTCGTGATTTCCGCGTTGATCAACCTAGAAATGCTTGAGAAATTGGCAATTACTAGCTCAAAAAGCGAACAGAAAAACTTGTCAAGAAGAAAGCTAAGAGTTTAGAAGTTTTCTTTCATCAAACCTCATCAATAATTCTATCCAATTCCTCTCTCGTTTGCTCTAATCCAAGATTTCGCATCGCTGCCTCGAGCTCGTCCAATCCGATCGCTCCGGAACGATCTGGAAACTTAAAACTTTGTCAACATCGATGATGAATATTGATTCGACTACCGTAATCCTAACCGAATAGCTAGAGTGATTCGGCTAGCTTTAAAGACTACAGTAACCCGAATCCAAGAGATTGCCTACAGTAACCCGAATCCAAGACATTGACTGCAGTAACCCGAATCCAAGAGATTACTTACAGTAACCCGAATCCAAGAGATTGCCTACAGTAACCCGAATCCAAGCCATTGACTACAGTAACCCGAATCCAAGACATTGCCTACAGTAACCCGAATCCAAGACATTGCCTACAGTAACCCGAATCCAAGACAAACTCTTTCATAAGATTAGTGCTTTAAAGCTAGGCTCGGCTACCGTAATCCTAGTAGACTTTACGGTAACCCAAGTACTTCCTATCATACTTTTAGCTACCCGTACTTGATTTCATTTTCAGCAAAGCTTTAAAATTTCTTGGTGTACCAGCTGCAACTAACTTGCAGAACAATCAATTTAAATGAGTGAATTTTCAAAAGAATTCAAAGCTAATCTATGCTACAATCCTGACTATAAATTTTGTAGAAAACGAGTCAATCTCACGTCTTAACAAAAAGCTTCCAAAAGTTGTTTTCTAAAGCTCGAAATAGCATTGAATCGACGCGAAAAGAAGCACTTTTTTTGCTAAAACGTGGAAGTGACTCATTTTCTACAAAAACCCATATCTAACACAGACTTTAATCCACCTGTATCAAACATATTGAAGACTTGTCGATACTCGGCTAGCTCTTCTTCTGTATACCCTTCTAGTTTCGAGTTGAGTAGTGGAGAATGAGGGGCGGCATTTGAATGGTGGTCACGGTCGGAGTGAAGTTTCAGCTCAAATCAAAAGATAAAGAAAGAATTTGGAAAAGATAGCTTTTGTATTGTTTGAGTTTTGCTTTAAAGTTGACGCCTTTTATGGAGTTGAGCTAGGAATCCAAAAATTCTCAGCACCAGGATTCGAATGCGCGACCGGGCGCCGTCCGCTTAGCTGGGCGCCGTCCGCTTAGCTGGGCGCCGTCCGCTTAGCTGGGCGCCGTCCGCTTAGCTGGGCGCCGTCCGCTTAGCTGGGCGCCGTCCGCTTAGCTGGGCGCCGTCCGCTTAGCTGGGCGCCGTCCGCTTAGCTGGGCGCCGTCCGCTTAGCTGGGCGCCGTCCGCTTAGCTGGGCGCCGTCCGCTTAGCTGGGCGCCGTCCGCTTAGCTGGGCGCCGTTCGCTTAGCTGGGCGCCGTTCGCTTAGCTGGGCGCCGTTCGCTTAGCTGGGCGCCGTCCGCTTAGCTGGGCGCTGTTCGCTTAGCTGGGCGCTGTTCGCTTAGCTGGGCGCTGTTCGCTTAGTTGGGCGCCGTTCGCTTAGCGGGCGAACGTTCTACCAATGAGCTACAGCGACACGTGCGGAGTAGAGCCAGAGTAGAGCTTTATCCCCTACTTTGGTTCCGATTTTATTTCCAGTTTAACTGTTAAACTGTTAGATTTAAGAATGATTAAGTGATGATTTGTAAGTCCAAAATAAAGCTGAAAATGTGATGAATGAAATGAATAGAATGGAAATATTGAAATGGAAATAATAAAATCAAAACATTTCAAACAATTTAATCAAAAGCTTGTTCAAAAATTATCACAAAACCAAAGGAAAGCTGAAATAATCAACGAATTCTCGACCATACTAATGACGATTATTTTTTCCTGTCAAACACAACTTTTTAAGACTTTTTAAGACTCAAAACTCATTTTGCAGAAAGATTTCTTCCTTAATTTATACTAGTTTTCAAGAGAAGATTCCGAGCTATCGAATCACTTAAATAGTTTTGTTTTTCTTTGAATTTGACCTAAAAATTCTTAGTAAAACTGTAACGACTACGCGGTTTTACACTCCAAATACTTGCGAATGGGTTGTCGGACGTTTGATACACGCACCACAACGAGTACAAGATTTTTTGTCTTCAAATCAAAAATCTAAGCACTAACAACTCTTAAATGATGTCCAACTAAGAGAAAAAATGCAAAAAGAATCGATTTCGATTTATCAATTTTTTGTTGATAGCTCGAGAAATTTTGTCTTTTGACCGAGTCAACTCTCCTAAGATATCCCAGTTGCAATTGTTCGAATTCTACTCTCCTGGGCCAATTTTTTTTTGCGTAGATTCCAAAAAACACACTTTCAGCACGATTTGACGACGATATCGCGATGAAAAGTGACTTTGAAAATTTCTAGGTTTCAACTTTGGTGTTCAGAAGGGCAAAAAAACCCTGAATAAAATAGAAAACATAGAAAAACTGATACCATCTTGTAGAGCTCAACCTGAGCTTTCCGAATAAATAACACTTATGGGTTCTGTCGAGTACATCTGTAGATATGGCGTATCAAAGTTGGTGAACTCCATGGCCAGCACTAGAGTGTGTTCCTTGCAGACAAGGAGCCAACAAGGAGCACACTCTAGCCGGCACCGTTCATGTTTTGATTAGGTTTGATTAGGACGTTTGAAACACGCACGGCTCTTTTCCCTTTAGCAAGCTAACTTTAAGCTGAAATATCTTGGTGTTGCGCTGTTCAATTCAAATATTTAACATTGGATGAGTAACATCGAATGAGTTCCAACAGCAAAAAGAATTCAATTCAGAAATCAATTCAGAAAAGCAATAACAATATAGCTGTAAAAGCTGAATACCGACCTTGATTGTCAGCCTTGACCTCTTCATCCTCGCTGATCCTTGTCCTGATGAGCTGATCGAGGCATTTCTGACCGAAGTCGCGTACCGATGCATTCTCTCTTGCATTCGTGCCGAGGAGTCGAGTAACGATTTGAACGACAGCTTATTTGTTGTCAATTTTTCGTCCAGCCGGAAAATTTTCTAATTTCAGCTGCCGAGCGAATTGAATTTTTATGAGACAAAAGGGAAGAGAGGGGGGTTGCTGGGAGAAGAAAATCCATTGCTTTTCTCATCCTTGCATTCCTCATTTCCGAGTCAATCGACGAAATTGGAGAAAGGTGGGAGAAAAGCGAAAGAGAAGAAGCCATACATCGGATTTGGAGTTGTTGATGACTTGCTGGGATTGCTGGGATGATGATGAGCTCAAAGTGAAGTGCTGGCGCATCACAATTACCGCCTCATCTCTCTTACAATAGAATTTCACTGTTTTACAAGGAAAACTCTTTTAAATTTTTGTTCTTTTCTTAGTTTTTGTTGTAATTTTTTGTTTTCTTTGTTCTAAGCTTTGGTTTTAAAAAAACGTTTAATTTAGTGCTAGGAAAAAGCTTCACAGAGCTTCGATGCACGCTATGGGACATTGCTTAAGTCGATAGAAGTGTTGAGACTTGAATGTCAAAGGCTTAGGCTTGGCTTAGGCTTAGGCTTAGGAAACAAGAGAACTGTTACCATCAAAGCTTAACTTAGGCTAGCTTAGGTTAGGCTTAACTTAGGCTTAGCTTAGGCTTAGGCTTAGGCTTGGCTTAGGCTTGGCTTAGGCTTAGGCTTAGGCTTAGGAAACAAGTGAACTGTTACCATCAAAGCTAATATCAGATGGTGAAAAGATTAGGCGCCTCCGAGCGCGTTTCGTTCATTAAATGGCCCGTGAGAAGTGAATCAGTGAACCAAATGGTTCGAAAAACAAAAAAAATTCAAATTCAAAAAATTTACCATATCGAAAGCACTCGTTGGGGCAAAAGAGGTCTTCCTTGCGAGTTTCTTCTTATTCGCTTGATTTAGTTGGGGCATGGGGATAAAAACAAGAAATATTATCAATGATTTAGTCTAGCTTTCGAATATTTGTTGGTCAAAGCTTTTGGCGAAGTTTTCTTTCGAATGAGAAATCTCAAATCTATCACGAAAAAGCGGCAGTTGAAAATGGGTTTTTCTAATTGAAAGTGCTAATTGAAAATTTGGCGGGAAAGGGAAAAGGGAAAAAGAAAAAAGGGGAAGTTGAGAAGTAAAAGAAAGAAAATATAATAAATGACTTTAATATTTCGAAAGCTTTTCCTGAATGTTAGAAAGTATTTGCGTTAATTGAAGAAATTTTACTGAAAAACTCTTGTTTTGGGTGTTGTTAGAAGTCTTTGATTCGAGAAGTCTTTGATTCGAGATATCTTTGATTCGAGAAGTCTTTCATTCGAGATATCTTTCATTCGAGATTTCTTTCATTCGAGATGTCTTTGATTCGAGATATCTTTGATGGACGTTGACACCAAAATAAGAAAAAATTCTGGTATTTGATACTTAACACGTTGACGACAATAGCGTTTTTGCACAAACAATCGCATGGGACAACGTTGTTTTTTTCGACAAAAATGTCACCCGAAATCAGGTGACAATCTCCCAGGCGAACGAATATGTATCAGACAGCATCAGGTGACAATGTCGTCAACGTGTTAAGTGTGGTATCAATCCAAGACTTAATCGGAAAAAGGAAAAAAAATGAAAAACGAGAGGCGAGGATGGGATCGAACCAGGGAGGCTTCGACTCATAGTCGAGAGCTTTGGCAATGCGCTACGTCACTGGGTTGTGTGCGAGCAAAGGGGTCTAGTAAGGAACCTGGTCAAGTAACGCTAAAATTTCTAACAATAGTTGAAGTGAATGGATGTCATTAGATGCTACTTTCACGAGAATTTCTTCAAAACCAAGTACTTGCTTATCGGAGAAATTCGATCTCGAGTTCATCTTCAGTAGTTTTTTAAACGAATTCCCGCGTTTTATCGAATTTGGTGTTGTTAGTTGCAGTTCGGCGACCATCTTTAGAGTATCCAGGTTTAGAAATGTTTAGAAATGATTTCTAGAAAGATTTCCTGTTTCTAAAAGTCTAAAAAAATGAAAAGAATGAAAAAAGGATGAAAAAGGATGAAAAAAAGAACGAAAAGAATGAAAAGAATTAAAAAAGAATGAAAATAATCAAAAGAATCAAAAAAGAATGAAAAAAGAATGAAAAAAGAATGAAAAGAATTAAAAAAGAATTAAAAGAATGACAAGAATCAAAAGAATCAAAACAATCAAAACAATCAAAAGAGCCAAAAGAATCCAAAGAATGACAAGAATCAAAGGTTTTGTTATATTAGGTTGTCCAATAAGTAATGCGTGTTTTGACACGATTTTCAAAATATCACAAAATTAACAAAAGAGAACTTTAATAATCGATATATTCTCCACAACAATCAACAACATTTCTCCATCGTCCGAGCAAAGAGTGAAGTCCGTCATAATAGAATGAAGCTGGTTTCGATGAGTAACATCGAAATAAGTAACACGCATTACTTATTGGACAACCTAATAGAATAATCAAATTCTAATCAAATTCTATGATCAAATTCTTGTTTTCTCTAAAGAAAAAAGGTTCTAAATCTATAAAAAACTGCGATTTGAAGAATTTCAAGAATTTCAAGAATCGAATCAAAAGGTGAATATAAAATGTATGAGATTTTCCCGTCAAGAACATATTCCTGGGAATTTTAAGCTAAAAGAGATTGAGTTTATGTTTAGTTTTTGAGTTTAATTTGCAAAAAACTTCAAATATTCAGTAAATTTATTGTTTTAAAGTATTTTTTTTTTTTGAAAAAGATTTAAATTTTCGTTCGTTACCCGGTGTGACAAAAGAAGAAAAGGGAAAAACGCCGAAAAATTGGGGAAAGAGGAGGAAAGAGGAGGAATTTAAAATATTTATGAATATTGTTTTCTTTTGACTTTTTTTCTGGATATAGATTGGTTTTGAGTCAAATTTGTATGGGTTAACAGTTATTTAGAGAAAATTTTCACTTATTAGCATAGTCTTTGAGTGTACTTTATGCGAACCGGTAAGCGCACCTTTTCTGGCATAGACCAAATGATAAAGTACACCAAAAATCATCTCGAATTCAGTGCTATGCAGTAGACATTTTTTTTTGGGAAAATCAGATCGAATCGGGCTAGGCCGATTGGTTGAAGCTAGTGGATCGGTTGGGGCTAGTTCGATCGGTTTAATGGATTGGGTCGGGCGAGACCGATTGGTCGATCGGATCGATTCGGATCTGGCTACACCGATCGGTTGGATGGATCGGATTGGGGTAGAACGATTGGTCGGACCCATCGGATCGGGCTAGCTCGATCGGTTGGATGGATCGGATTGGGCTAGAACGATTGGTCGAAGCTAGCGGATCGGATCTGGCTACACCGATCAGTTGGATGGATCGGATTGGGCTAGAACAATTGGTCGAAGCAAGCTAGGGATCGGATCTGGCTACACCGATCGGTTGGATGGATCGGATTGGGCTAGAACGATTGGTCGAAGCAAGCTAGGGATCGGATCGGGCTAGCTCAATCGGTTGGATGGATCGGATTGGACTAGAACGATCGATCAATCGGATCGAATCAAGCCAGACCGATTGGTCGACCTTATCGAATCGAATTGGATCGGATCGGGCTACACCGATCGGTTGAGTGGATCGGATTGGGCTAGGCCGATTGATTGAACCCATCGGATCTGGCTGGCTCGGTTGGACGGATCGGATCAGTCTTGTCGGATCGATCCGATAACCACAATACAGTATACAGTACTTTATTTAGAACATACTCGTTAGTTGGCTCAAACTTTATAAAAACACTCTTTCTTTCGTATTAAATTTTATTTCCATTTCATTTCCTGTCAAAATTACAAAAAAAAACGGCTAGAAGGTGCACTAGAAAGGGTGCGTTTACTAGATGAAAGTACTCAAAAATCTTGAAGAGACTTAAAAGATTTTGAATAATGAATGCGCCAAAAATTGCTTTGATTTTTTTGTGAGATTAGATCCGGCAAAGATTATAGTTGATTATGATTTAAAGAAGGAAAAAAGACTTAAATCTTTGGCCAGAGAAGCCAGAGAAACAATTGCTTAAAGAGCTAAAAGAGCTTAAAGAGCTAAAAGAGCTAAAAGAGCTTAAAGAACAAAAATTGAAAAGAAATTTTTGGTTGAGTGAATTTTATGGGAATCTGGAAATGATTTCTCTTTTTTATTCTTCTTTTTGAAGGCACCAGATGGCTTAAAAAAGAAAAACAATCGTTTATTTCCCTTTTTTTTCCGTAAAATCAAATATTTCTTTAAGAGTTTGGTGAGAAATTGTTGAGGTTTAAAGGTTTTTTAAAATCATTTTACTATTAGCACAACGATCTACAGCACTATAGAAGTGCTGTAGATCGTTGTGCTGTAGATTAAACTGCCTCCACTCTACAGAGTGACCGCAAAGTATAGCGACAGAAAAAGTATCTGCCAAATGCTTTACTTATTTCAAAAGTTTCAAGTGTTATATAGAGGATTGTAGCTCTGATTCTCGGCAACATTTCTCTACCAAAAACTTTTCAATTCAACTTATAAAACTTGCTTAACAAGCGCTTGAATGAGCGCTAATCGACATCTTTACAAAACTATCGTTTAGCCACTTTTGGCTATGCCATTTCAGTCAAAAAAGTTAATTGTGATTGAGTTAATTAATTCTTAATGTTATTAAATGATGTTAAACGCTATTTTTCCAATATTGAAAAGCTTTTCTTAACAATTTTTAATAGAAAAAAGCAGTTTCAGCAGCAAAAAAGCAGCCAAATGACAGTTTCGATTAGCGCTCATTCAATCGCTTGTTAAATGAGTTGTATAAATCCAATCGGGAAGTTTTTGGTAGATAAATGTAGCCAAGATTCAGGGCTACAATTCTCTATAGAACACTTACCTTTGAAATCAATTACACATTTCCCAGCTACTTTTCCAAAAAGTCACCTTGTACTTCTGGTTAGCCACTTTTGGTTCTGCCAGTTAATTTCAGCTCCAGTTCAGTTCAGTTCAGTTCATTCGGTCAAAAAAGTTAATTGTAATTCTTAATATTATTAAATGATGTTAAACTCTATTTTCCCAATATTGAAAAGCTTTTCTTAACAATTTTTAATAGAGAAAAGCGACGAAATGAGAGATTTGGAGAGATGTCGATTAGCGCTCATTCAAGCGCTTGTTAAATGAGTTGTACAAATCCAATCGGGAAGTTTTTGGTAGAGAAATGTAGCCAAGATTCAGGGCCACAATTCCCTATATAACTTTTGACACTTTTGATATAAGTAAAGCATTTCCCATGCTTTTTCAAAAAGTTTTCGCTCTACTTTGCGCTACAGTACTCCAGAAAGCACCTTCGAACTCTAAACGCTTTCTAAAAATTGCCCCTTTTCTCAAATACCGTAATGTAATGCTATTTTCTTTTCGCAACCTTTTAAAGAAACCATTTTGACGTGAAATATTCGATTCAATGAAATTTTCGATGTAAAACACACCAGGAAACTCATTTGATAGATTTTGATTTCAGTTTCAGATTCCCCATTGATTTAATTGATTTAATTGATTTAATTGATTGAATTGATTGAATTGATTGAATTGATTTAATTGATTGAATTGATTGAATTGATTGAATTGAAAAAAACAACAGTTCAACGATTTTAATAGTAACATCTTGAGGCAAGCAATTGCTAGACAGAAAGCCAGAACCAATTGAACCAATCGAACCAATCGAACCAATCGAACCAATTGAACCAATTGAATCAATTGAACCAATTGAATCAATTGAACCAATTGAACCAATTGAACCAATTGAATCAATTGAACCAATTGAACCAATTGAACCAATTGAACCAATTGAACGAGAACGAATTGAACCAATTGAACGAATTGAACGAATTGAACCAATCGAACCAATCGAACCAATCGAACCAATCGAACCAATTCAATCAATTCAATCAATTCAATCAATAAAGTTCCCCAGTTCCAACAAAAGCTCACTTTTAGTTTATTTCTTTTTCTCAAAAGCATCTCAAAAGCAAAAACAATCACTGTTTCTCTCAAAAATCTTGAAAAACCGACCTTTATCGCTTCAATCATTCCCCCGCTTTTCCCACCGCCCGATTTGTCCGTTGATTTGTGGCGAATCATTGGGTTTTTCGTCGTTCTTGCACTCAGAGACATTCTTCTAAAAAGGAAATTTGTTTGTTTGTTTGTTAAAATTTGTTAAAAACTGTTAAAACTTATAATAAACTTTGAGAATTTTAGTTATTTTTACCTTTTTATAGAGATTATCCCTGCAAGATTATCCTTTAAGGTTTCTCTTTTTTTTTGGCTAAAAAAAACTCACGCCGATAAGCTAACATTCGGCATTTTAGTATAAATCAGAAATAACACTGGAAAATCGATGAGATTAGTAAAATTCTTTAATAAAAATCTTGTTTTAGTGAAATTTCAAATAAATAAGAGATGATTAGAGATCTATTTCTCTAATGATCTCTCTTATTTCAGTTAGTAAATTCGAGGTTTGAAAAATCGAGCTTATTGGGGTGACCGGGGCAACGGAGAGAAATTGGCTGAGGGTTTAAAAGAAAATTTTTCTAATATATGTCGCTTTTATTGTAGTAATATAGTAAAATCTTTCCTCTTTTTGCTTAAATGACTTCTGGATTACTGTAGCATCAAAACGAAACATAGAAATGTTTAGTTGGATGTCACAACAGATAAAGAATATGTTAAACTGATGATATCTTTCAAGAAATGGTAGGCTAACTGCGTAACTTGGGTGTCATCTAGAATCTGTCTCCCAGATTACTGTAGCATTGCTACAAAACATAGAAATGTCTAGTTGGATGTCACAACAGATAAAGAATATGTTAAACTGATGATATCTGAAAAAAGATGGTAGGCGGTTACTGTAACTTGGGTGCCATCTAGAATCTGTCTCCCGGATTACTGTAGCATTGCTACAAAACATAGAAACGTCTAGTTGGATGTCACAAAAGCCAAAGAATAGGTTAAACTGATGATATCTTTCAAAAAATGGTAGGCAGTTACTGTAACTTGGGTGCCATCTAGAATCTGTCTCCCAGATTACTGTAGCATTGCTACAAAACATAGAAACGTCTAGTTGGATGTCACAACAGCTAAGGAGCAGGTTAAACTGATGATATCTAAAAAAAAATGCTAGCAAGGCCAACCTTATAGATAGGGTCAAGCCTAAGCTCTAGACTCTAGCCTCTTCCTCTTCCTCTTCCCTGACCCTACTTTAAGATGAATCCCAGTGCAAAATCTTTCATTATTTACCATTTTAAAAGAAATATTACCATTATTGTTATTACCATTGTAAAATTTGTTGTCAAAAATCACCTTACATTTCTCTTTATACTTTGTACTTCGTACTCAAATGTAAACACAACCTTTCTAGCGTATTTGATTCGTATTTATATTTGCAATGATAGTATAAATAAGCCAGAAAGGGTGCGTTTATGTAAAGTTTTCCAGCAAAGTTTCCCCAGAAGCAAAGCAAAGAAAAAGTGCTTACTTAAATACTGAAATAATACCCCACCCTCATAATGACGGTGCGCAGTGTCGCGTAGTCTAGCTTTGAACGAGTTTTTCTCGACACTGGTTTATGCTACAATGCGCGTTTAAATATCAAAAAATAGCTGAAATTCAGGGCTATTTTTTGATACCAAAGATAATGACGGTGCGGAGTGTTGCGTAGTCTAGCTTTGAACGCGTTTTTCTCGACACTGGTTTAAGCTACAATGCTCGTTTAAATATCAAAAAATAGCTGAATTTCAGCTATTTTTTGATACCAAAGATAATGACGGTGCGGAGTGTTGCGTAGTCTAGCTTTGAACGCGTTTTTCTCGACACTGGTTTAAGCTACAATGCTCGTTTAAATATCAAAAAATAGCCCTGAATTTCAGCTATTTTTTGATACCAAAGACGAATTTTTTGAAAGTACGGGTGCTTTGAAAAAAATGAAATACTAAAAAACTTTTGCGACTGCGACTACGCGACTGTACAAGGGCAGGGGGTACTATTACAGTATTTACGGTATCTAAAGAGGTAGAAGCTGGTAGCTTTAGGGTAGATAAAATCAATAAAGTAAATAAAGTAAAATAAAGTAAAGTAAAATAAAGTAAAGTAAAGTAAAGTAAAGTAAAGTAAATAAAGTCAATTCCTATTTGCTAGCAACCCATTTAAAGTGTTTTATTTGTATCTAGTGTGCTAGAAAGGGTGCGTTTCTCTTTCAGCAAAAATTAGATCAAATTTTCGCAAGTTTTAAAGTTATCACTTACCAAAATCACTCAAAATAACGGTATCATCAAAAAGCAAAAGGCAAAGTATAGTTTTCTAGAAGAAATAAAGAAGAAGAAGAGAAGAAATCTATTCAGAGAAAGAATTCAGAGAGAATCTATTCAGAAAGATTTCTCTCAAGTATTTAATTTTCATCTTTGGGGATTTGAGCGCCATTGTTGGCCGTTTTGGCGGCAGTAATTATCTTTGAGAAGAAAGAGAAAGAATAACAATCAACAATCAACACTCAAGTGGTGAAAGATCGATTTTTGAACAATCAAAACTCTTTAGAGAGTTTTGAGTTTAGTTTTGAGCCATTTAAAAGACAAAAATTTCGTTTTTTTTTAGAATTGTTGGCTAAACAAGCTGTTAAACTGAGAAGACTTGAGACTCGAGCCTCTTAAGATTAAGCCTTAATTTTCTCTGGATTCATCGCTCCAATCAATTTGTATTTTGTATCATTTAAAAGCCTGAATCAATCAATCCCACCTAGTCAAGGCAATGATAACTTTGCTCTCTCGGTGTCGGGAGGCACTTTTATGTAGTGGTAACGCTACAGCTTATGCTCAGCCAGATGACATCAGATGGCCTTGCTCGTTGGGTGAATCCTAGTTGTCAAAGAGTTGTCAAAGAGTTGTCAAAGAGTTGCCAAGGCCGGATCACTTCGGTTTCTCGAGGGCGCAAGATCACTTGCATACGATCACTTGATCGCTGATTGCTGATCGCTGATCGCTGGTCAAGGTATTGTACTCAGTAGAGCAGTATAGCTGCGATCTGCTGAGACTTTGCCTATGATTGTTATGATGGTTTGTTTGTTTAGTCACCATTGACTGTCTTTAGCTGTTTCAACGTTTCGATTGATGAGTTAGAAAGGGTTTTTTGATGATCACAAAGTACTTAATAAGAAGTACTTAATAAGAAGTACTTAATAAGAAGTACTTAATAAGAAGTACTTAATAAGAAGTACTAAATAAGAAGTACTAAATAAGAAGTACTAAATAAGGAGTACTAAATAAGGAGTACTAAATAAGGAGTACTAAATAAGGAGTACTAAATAAGAAGTACTTAATAAGAAGTACTAAGTAAGAAGTACTAAATAAGGAGTACTAAATAAGGAGTACTAAATAAGAAGTACTAAATAAGAAGTACTAAATAAGAAGTACTAAATAAGGAGTACTAAATAAGAAGTACTAAATAAGAAGTACTAAATAAGAAGTACTTAATAAGAAGTACTTAATAAGAAGTACTTAATAAGAAGTAAAATAAGAAGTAAAAGTTGAAATTAAAAAACCAAAACCAAAACCAAAAATTTTCAAGCACCTGTTATTTGGTATAATGAGGAAAGAAGTCTCCTGTTCGCTATCCATTTTCGATTTTCTTTTTCTTTCTTTCTGAAGAAAATTGAAGTAATTTAAGTAATTGACGTTTATGAAATCAAAAAAAATGATATTTATAGCAAAAGAAATGAATAAAAGAAGAATAAGAAAAAGAAAAGAACTGAAAAAGAAAAGATTTATTGTGGGAAATTGATTGAAAAGAGTTTTTAATGAAAAATTTTGGAGAAAAGGAAATCTCTAGTCAGAATTTGTTTTTATGAACTTACATAAAGTAATCTGAAAAGCTGATGAGGCTGAGTGTCTAAAGAAATCGAAAGATATTCAATCTTACAGCTGAATATTGTAGGAATTGGTTCAAGCTAGCTGTAGCTTGAAGTTTCCTACTAAGCTAAGCTTACTATTAAGCTAAGCTTACTATTTAGCTAAGCTTAAGCAAAGATACTGTAGGTTTTTAGCATACATCAGCCAAAGAAATGCTTACAATTATTTTCTCTAATAGTAGTGCACCCCAGCCGAGCCGAGTTGGTGGCTATTTTATTGTTCCAAGGTTTTCCCAGAAGCTCAACGCTCAAATCATTCACTAGATCTCATCGTCAGCTCCATTTTCCGACCCCACATCGATAGGTTCTGATAAGCGGTTCTCGAGATTTCAAGGAATTTAGGCAACGCTTAGAGTGCACTACTATTAGAGGTTCTCTCTATTATCTCTAATTCTCGCAATTGTCGGTTATACATCCACAAAGACTAATCTCAATTTAGCATCTCCATGCGAGTCTTCTCGGTTATCGATTCTCGTTCGACTGATCAACTGATGACTTCAGACGAGCACTAAACTTCCCTACACTTACTTCACTGAGCATAATTATCCCTCACAAGTTGTCAGCTCCTTTCTTAACCGAGATGAGTCTGTGTGGATGTATAACCGACAAGTACCTACCGTAAATACTGTAATAGTACCCCACCGCCCCATCGCAAAAGTTTTCTCGTATTTCATTTTTTTCAAAGCGCCCGTACTTTCAAAAAATTCGTTTTTGGTATCAAAAAATAGCTGAAATTCAGGGCTATTTTTTGATACCAAAGATAATGACGGTGCGGAGTGTTGCGTAGTCTAGCTTTGAACGTGTTTTTCTCGACACTGGTTTAAGCTACAATGCTCGTTTAAATATCAAAAAATAGCCCTGAATTTCAGCTATTTTTTTATATTTAAACGAGCATTGTAGCATAAACCAGTGTCGAGAAAAACTCGTTCAAAGCTAGACTACGCAACACTCCGCACCGTGATTATAGGACTGGGGTACTATTACAGTATTTATGGTAGGTATTACCATATCTATTACCATACCTTAGAGGTATCAAAAGAAGATATGGTATATTTATGGTAGGTATTACCATATCTATTACCATACCTTAGAGGTACCACCCTATTCTAAAACTAAAATTGATGAAATAGACTACGCAACGCTCTGCACCGTCATTATCGGGCTGGGGTACTATTACAGTATTTATGGTAGGTTCTTTATGAAAAAAAGGACTCTAATA